GACTCTTTGTGATCCCATGGACGAGAGCACGTCAGGCCCTCCTGTCTTCCACTGCCTCCTGGAGTTGGGTCAAATTCATGTTGGTAGCTTCGATGACACTGTCCAACTATCTCATCCTCTGTCGTCTCCTTCTCCTCTTGCCTTCACACTTTCCTAACGTCAGGGTCTTTTCCAAGGAGTCTTCACTTCTCATGAGATGGCCAAAGTATTCAGGTTCTGTCCTTCCAGTGAGTACAACCATCTACATTTACTCAAATACAGTCATGTCATCTTCTTCTGGTTGCTGCACAATGGTGGAGGGCAGGTTTCACTTAACTGGGGCTTATTTTTGGGGTTGGCCTTATATTACTAGCATCTTGAAAAATCATACTAGGGCTTATTTTGTCTTATTTTTGGGGAAACAGGGTACCAGGAACAAACTTTCCAAATGCCAACCCCACTGGATCTGTGGGAAGGTTGATGGAGGATCTTTGGGACATAATAATCTTTTCTCTCTATTCTACATTCACATGTCCAGAAACTCCAAGGACAATGAGGAGCTGTACCATTTCTCCAGCTGAAAAGATTACTCAGCACTTATACAAAAGATATATACAGTGGTGCCTTGCTTAGCGACGTTAATCCGTTCCGGAAAAACGTCGCTAAGCGATTTAATCGCTAAGTGATTTTTAAAAGCCCATAGAAACGCATTAAAACGTCTTTAATGCGTTCCTATGGGCTTTAAAACTAACCTTATGCGAAGATCCTCCGTTGCGGCGGCAATTTTCGGTGCCTCTAAAGCGAGGCAATACAGTGGGTGGCCATTTTGTTTTCCAGCAGCCATTTTGAAACCGCCAATCAGCTGGCCGAAAATGGGGGGCTTTGCGGTGATCGCTTCCCCGCTATCACCGCAAAGCGCTTTTCCCCCATAGGGGCCATCGCTAAGCGATCGCTCTGGCGATGGCCAAAACCCCATCGCTAAGTGATTTCATCGCTCAACGGAGCGATCACTAAGTGAGACACCACTGTATAATCCAAGATCCTTTATTTAGGAATGATTTGACATAAAACACTAACATTATTTTAAAAAATAACTCAAAACATATCTGAAGAGGATTCCAATATGACAGCCAAGAGAGCAACCAAGAAGGAATAAGGCAAGACAGATAGCTTCAGAAAGGACATATTGAGCAGACTTTAGAAAGTTACTGGTGCCTTAATTTTTAAAAATAATCCATAACTTTTAAAGAGCACTATGTTGATAATGATTCACAAATGGACTGTTGTTTTTCAAATTACTGAAAGTACTAAAATAAATAACAAAATTAAGAAACATTTTAAAAAAGATAAATCTGGTCAATTCTGATGCTCATCAATGTCCTAGATGCAAGGATTAAATACTTCTCATTAGTTGAAATCGTGTTGCTTTTTATTTTTTTAATGCAATGTAAATGGTGTAACAGCCACTTTCCAGCTGGCAAGTAACACACTGGAACATGCTGGAATTCTCGAGGATGGGTCAAACCAACAGGCACCTGACAATTGCAGCAGTGATCCATTAACTGCCAGGTACATGTAAGTGAATGTTATACCATTTGCCTTCCACGTGCATAAAAAAGCAACAGGATTTCAGGCATTATATTTTCAAAAAACAAAACAAAAGAAAATGCAAAGTTGCCAATTTTGACTAACTTCATTATGTCATGCTTATGTTAATATTCAAAAGACTGAGTTGATGGGGGTTGCCCTCAAAATGAAAAGTTCTTTTAAAATGTGCCTAAGAGAGATGCATTAAAATTGAAACTATACAGTGGTGTCTCGCATAGCGACGATAATCCGTGCAGCAAAAATCGCTGCAAAGCGATTTCGTCGCTATGCAATATTAAAAAGCCCATAAGAATGCATTGAAACCCCTTCAATGCTTTCCTATGGGCTTCAGACTCACCTTAAAGCGAAAATCCTCCATACAGTGGCCATTTTTGCTGCCCGGTAAGCGAGGAATCCGTCCCAGAAAACAGAGGGCAGCCATTTTTTTTATCCGGCGGCCATTTTGGAACTGCCAAGCAGCTGTTAAAAAATCATCGCTTTGCGATGATCGGTAAGCGAAACAGGATACCGATCATTGCAAAGCGATTTTCCCCATAGGGAACATCGTAAAGCGATCGCAAAAAGTTAATCGCTATGCGATTTCATCGTTAAACGGGGCGCCCGTTAAGCGAGGCACCACTGTAATTGGAAACGTATGCTGTGAAGATACCTTACACTACAAAACTAAAATACAGATAACAAGGCAGTAGCAGCTCATTAAGTTTTGTGCCCATTTTCGTGATGAAAAAAGGAAAACAATTGAGGATTTATGTGAAACAGAGACACAACAGAAAAAAATAGGAATAATTTTAATTTACTATTTATGTTGTGTTTTACCTATAATGTAAATCAGACCTGGGCAATGTGTGGCCTGCGGGCCACATATGGTCCAAAAGCCGTTCCTGTCCTGCCCGTCGGTTGCCGCTCCAGTCTGGCCACTGGTCACCACTCTTGTCTGGCCTGCCCGTCGCCGCTGAGTGAGCTGGATCTCCGGCTCCGCTCACCCAGCACAGCAGTAAGCAAAACACGCAAGATCTGACACTGGGATTTCACGAGTTTTGACTGTTCGTCCTGAGCCACAGGCTGCAGAGCCTGAGGCTCAAGAGGCCAGAAGCGATCCTTGTGCAGGCGACGTGATGACACATCACGTTGCCTGCGCAGGATAGAAGACAGTCAGAGAGGAAGGCCGCGGGGGAACGGAGGACAGGTGAGTTAGCCCAGTGTCAGGGGGGGTTTCTTCCGCCCACTGCAGTGAACAAATTACAACGCTTGCATAATTAACTCCCTAAAAAGTTTAGGGAGTTAACTATGTCAGCCTTGTAGTTCGTTCACCACAGGGCCTCACCCAATGGGGGGGGCCTATTACTACCCACAAATTGGGGGCCTATTACTACCCACACCCGAACACAGTTCAGGTTTTTCCTGTGGCCCCCTATAGAAACTAATTGCCCGCCCCGATGCAAATCAACAATGAAATATCACAAAATAGATGTTAAACAAAAGAGAAAAAGAATATATTGTACAACAGAAGCTTTTACAGAATAGTATAAAAGGAAAAACGGATGTCATTTTAAGCAGTTTGTTTAATGATAAGTAGAAATGAAACAATGGTATCATTTGTTTTATAAGGCTTTAACCTCATAATTAATAATTCCCTAAGTCAGTGTCATGGGGTGTGAAGGAGAACTGGAGAAAGAGAGTGTGCCGTCTCCTCCAGAGGAAAGAAATGTCATGACATAGGAAAGAGATGAGAAAAAAATAGACGGGGAGAGAATTAATGAAGAAAGGGTTAAAACAGAGATCTGCTTATTGGAGGAAGGGAAAAGAAAGGGGGAGGAGTTAGAAATCACAGTATGGGAGGAGGAGATAAAAGGGACAAGAGGAGAGCAGGTTTTTTGGGTCCCAATAGAAGAAGAAATAGGAGAAAGAAGGCGAGCATGCAAGAGATTTACTAAAAGACTTCCCCAACCTGAAGGTGGGAGGACTCTTGCCTGATCTGGTGAAAGGGAAGGAGGTGACTATCACGGAGACCTCAGAATGGACAGTTGTCGTATTTCCGAGAGGTCAGGGTCGTTGGAAGATGATGGTACAGCCAGATCCTACTCACAACAAACCACCACCCAAGGGAGACTGGGCCCACCACCCGTGTTGTGGCACGATATGTGCAGCCTGGAGCGCACCTATGAGGAAACTGACCGGCAAAGAGCATTTTGGTCCGGCTCCCCAATATTGAAGGATAGTGTTAATTATGGAGTATCCCCAGAGTTTAAAGGACAGTTTCAAGAATTGAACTGTTTATACCCTACTGAATTTGTAGCTGATTCACCTGATTCCAAGTTTAATAAAATCATTAATAATTTGAATGAGCCAGCGTTTTATTTTCCTGCCCAATGTTTGGAACTGTCAAGAACTTTCAAAGAACCCCATCACATGGGGACAGTCTTAGAGTGGCCAGAAGATAACAATGGACATAACACAGCCATTATTCTGGATAAGGCTTGGTGAGAAAATACCATAAACTCCATACAAATCTGCTTGGGTCATCATTCAAGTTCCCACTATCTCTTCTCAGTGACTGGACTGGTGGCTCTCATGAATAAGGGCTTGTCATTGGTGGCTCCTACAGTGCCGGACACCCCACATATAAAGATATGTGTGTCTCTTTCGGAAAACAAGATAAGACTAATCTGTTTCAGAGAGATGTTGAGGCTAGAAGGAAATGAGCACTGTATATGAATACTCCATATTTTCTTACTGCTCCATATTTACCCTGTTTGCGTTGTTCAGGGTTATTTTTCCCATCTGCAGACAGTTACACTAGGTATAGTTTATTTTTAAAAAATGTATTGAGTGGCCACACTTTTTATAACTTGGGACATTTTGACATTACAGTTCATTTGGATCTTTCAGTGGTCAGCCAAATAGGTCTGTAACCAAAAAGAAAAAAATTCTGGTAGGAGAAAATCAGAAGCTCCACTGCACATGCCTAACTGGTCACATCTAGATCACTTAATCAAAGGGTTACTAAGATCTGCTACTATTATACAAGGTGTGGGGCATGTTTGAAGAATTAAATGTGGCACCTCCCCACACTCACAAGCTCTTGAGCGCATGCGTGAAACAGTGGGGAAGTGTGCACCAGGACTGGTGTAAGCGCTCGCCCACCCCTTCGCGTGGGCGCATGCTTGAAGGGGTGAGGGAGAGCTCACGCCTGTACTGGCATGCGCACATGTGCGCAAAGCAGCTGTGGGGAGGGGAGTGCGTCCGGGGGCGGGGCGGGAGGTCTGTCTCTGCAGCTCGGACCGGCTCAAGCCACGGACTGGCACTGGGCCGTGGACTGGGGGCTGACGACCTCTGTTATAAACAATAAGCATAATTACACTTCTTTTACAAAAACGCTAGTAAGATATACTATAGTACAAACCATCACTCACCTCAGCCACCTGCTGTGTCTCCACTATCTGCTGAGCCAGCACCTCCATATTGGTTGCCATGGTAAAAGACGATCATTAGAAAACCTAATTGGAGAGATGCCAATAACTTTTATCAGGCACACAAAATAACTAGACCTTTTAACATTTTTAATATCAAGAGCAATTAAATATGTAAGGTAGCTCTATGTCAAAACAAAACATTATTTTAAGCATTTTATTAGAAAATAGTACAGACTTGTTACAATCAAATAATTGGTTTATTTGTTAGTAAAAAAAATATTTGTACAACATGTATGAGATTCTGCACATCAGTCACCATATTGACAAAAAGAAGTAGGACTCAGTTTCTGTTACCTACAGTATGTTGTGGCAGAGCGCAATATAAGATTGCTCTTCTCTCTCCAGAGTTTTCTATACAATGTTTAGGTATGTACATATTATGCCAAGCAAGAGCCCCTGTTCTGTGCACAGCACATACGAAGCTCTCAGAGAGGAATGGAGAGATTAGTTCTACATTTCTGGCACTCAAATATGGCAGGAGAGATGGCAGCAACACCTTACGTTGTGAGTTTCCCAAAACTCAAAATAACAAACGACACTACAAGAGATGGCAGCAACACCTTACGTTGTGAGCTTCCCAAAACTCAAAATAACAAATGACACTATACAGCAGGGGTGGGCAATTAATTTCTATGGGGGGCCACATGAAAAAACTGAACTGTGTTCGGGGGTGAACCAATTTTACTTAAAAATAAAAGATAAGCAACAGATCAACTTTAGACAAAAAGCTATAAATGGTTTTGATGTTCAACTTGTTCAGTAAGAGTAATCCAGTCTGTCTTGGGCTTGAACAAGTGCTTGAACACCGGACTGGAGCGACGACCGGCGGGCTGGACAGTAGCAGCTCACAGGCCATATGTGGTCCTCGGGCTGCAATTTGCCCGGGTCTGCTATACAGATGTATATATTTGTGATGTGGACAATTTCAGGCAGTGCACTGGCAGAGGAGTTTTCAAACTACATCGCAGGAAGTTGTTTGAATCCCAGTTCTTTGATGGAGGCCCACCGGGGTTTTGTGTTGCCCTGTTCCATGGCTAAATAGAAACTCACAGTTTCAAAAACAAGATACAGTGGTGCCTCGCATAACGTTTTTAATTGGTTCAAAAAAAAAAAACCTTATGCGAAAAAAACTTTATGCGAAACACCATTTCCCATAGGAATGCATTGGAAACCGGTTAATCCGTTCCAATAGGCACGGATTGGCATCCTTAAGCGAAAAAAACCCATAGGAAACATTGTTAAATGATACAATGTTTCCTCCATTGGAATGTATTGAAGCCGACTCAATACATTTCAATGGCTTTGCGAAGTCAATTTTTGCAGCCCATAGGGAAAAACGTTATACGAAGCACAATCTGACTCTGAAAAAATAAACGTTAAGCGAGAAAAACGTTAAACGAAGCAAACGTTATGCGAGGCACCACTGTATATGGGGCCAGGGGTGGGTGGGGGTGGGCATGCAGATCACCTGCCAATCCATTGTTTGAGAAGGGAGGATTATATCCAACCAACAGGTGCTTGGGAGCAAAAAGGGCTGAACCAATTCAATTCAGCCTTTGCATCAGCCATTTTATAAGCGGATCACACAACTGCACTTAAAGAGAACTATTACAATAACCACTGTGGGGAGAAAAATAAAAGAGCAAGAAAGAATAAAACAAAAGGTAGGTTTTAGTTTCAAACTCAAACAAATGAGATGCCAAAGACTGCAGTATTATCAGGCTATCACATTAACTACTCTTGCAGACAAAGTGATCCTCTAGGTTTTATAATAAAGACTTATATTGAGAGAGAAATGCCAGATATGCAATCTGGATTCTGAAAAAGGAAAAGGCTTTAGAGGTCATAATGCAAAGATATGTTGGCTTCTGGAATGTACCAAAATGTCAGAAGAAAATTGTTTCACACTGTACTCTACAGTATAGTACCTGACTGTGCTATACTGTAATTTTCTTCTGACATTTTTGGTACATCCCAGAAGCCAACATATTTTTGCACTATGATGACACCTATAAAGGTGTCAGTGCAGAGATATGTATAAAGACACCTATAAAGACAACTGCAGTCTTTGTGAGATGCTAAAGACTGCAGTATTATCAGGCTATCACATTAACTACTCTTGCAGACAAAGTGATCCTCTAGGTTTTATAATAAAGACTTATATTGAGAGAGAAATGCCAGATATGCAATCTGGATTCTGAAAAAGGAAAAGGCTTTAGAGATCATAGTGCAAAGATATGTTGCACTATGTGCAAACATGTATCAAAAATGTCAGAAGAAAATTATTTCATACTGTACTCTAGTATAGCACCTGACAGTGTGAATCACAAAATGTTATTAGTCATTCTAAAAGAAATGAGTATGCCACAGTAGTTTGATGTCTTTATATATAATCTGTATTGTGGACAAGGACCCAATATGAAGAATTACAAGGGTTTCAATTTGGCAAAGAAATCAGACAAGCACATGCTTTACCTCTCTATGTGAGTCTGGACAATGAAGAAAGGATGTGAAAGGCAGACAGTGAAAAAAGCTGACATGAAAATTTATATTTATTTATTTATTCCATTTATACCCCACCTATCTGGTCATATTGACCACTCTGGTCGTGATTGATTCATCTGAGATGTGGTGTTGGAAGAAAGCTTTATAGACCCCATGGACAACCGGAAAGGAAAACAAGTAGGTCCTATATCAAATCAATTCTGAACTCCAACTAAAAGCTAAAATGAGCCTGTCATATTTTGAACATACCATGGCTCACTGGAAATAATGCTAGGAAAAGTGGAAGGCAGTAAGAAGAGAAGATGGCCAAAATGGAATAGATTTACTTCATGAAGGAAGCCACAGTTCTAATTTGCAAGATCTGAACATTATTTTTGATAAGACTTTGAAGTTCATTAATTTATAAGGTATCTGCAAGATGGAAGCAATTTGATGGCACATAACAGTAACAAAGGAGCATGTTTTCTTGTCTAACAAATGAATAGGTCACTAATAATTCATTACAGTATTGAGCATCACAGAATGAGTGTCATGACCTGAACAGGACTTTGAGGTCACTAATCCTTAAGGTTGCTGTAAGTCAATAATGGTCTGATGCTTAAAAACAACATCTGTTCAATCTCTATGTACAACATAATGTACAGAAAACTTTATTAAATGTACATGATGATACCACACTACTGGCAGAAAATTGTGACAACTAGACATGACAATAAAGAGAAGTACAAAAAGGAAGTATAAAAACAAAATTGCACCCCAGGTGGTTTTGATTTAAATCAAATTTATTTAAATCACAATTTAAATCAGGATTAAAAATTTTAAAAATAGATTTTTGAGGATTTAAAATAAAAAAAAACATTTAAAAATCACTGCTTTTTATACACCCTGATTATACTCAAGATGAAGATAATATATATAAATAATAAGACAAGAATAGCTACATATAAATTATATGACATCAGTGTAAAGAAGGAAATAAATGATTTCCTTAAAGATTTAAAAAAACTTAAAGGTTTTTTTGTACCTTGGTGCAATCATCAATCAAAAAGGAGACTGCAGCCAAGAAATCAGAAGACTGAAGAAACTTGAAAAGATCCTCAAAGTGAATAAAGAGGCTAGTACAGGAGCCCGACAGTCAGAGTTGGACATTATAAAGTCAAGTGGGATATAGTCGGTTCCGGGAGCCTTGCCTGGTTTAAGTTGCTTAATTAGCATTAAGATTTCCCTTGGAGCAACTGGAGGCCATTCAGGTATATGATCAAGCTCATTCTGAGAAATTAAGGTACTAGCTGAATGGACTGTGTAAATACTTCGAAAATGTTCCTCCCGTATACTAGGCAATACAGTATATAGAAATCTTGTTTGGCAGTATAAGTTAGCGTTCCCTTTGTTACTATCTTCCAGAAGGAGGCTGAGTCCTTCAAATTGGAAGCAGTTATCAAACATTGCCAGGTTTCCCTCTGTGCTTGAAGCTTTTTACTTTTAGAGCCTTGTACTTCTTCTTAAGCATAAACCAATCTGTTGGAATTCTAGCCACGTTCTGTTCTCTGTAGGCCCTATAGGTGACCAGTAACTCATGTTTATCTGCTTTGCACCCTGAATCAAACCAGGGTTTTGTATGGAGAGAACTAGTAGTCAATTTGCATGTCTTTTTACAAGTTAGATGAGTTTGTAAAGATTATACTATGTGTTTATAGGCCTCTAAGACTGGTTCCACTGAACTAAGAGAAGTAATTAAATTACTGAAATATAAATAAGGCTCTGAAAACAGCAGCTGTCTCATAGATGCATCCAATTCTTCCGACCACTTAATGCGGGCCCCTCTTGTGTCGGCTGCAATGGGTGTTATAGGAGCAAGGTCCGCAAACACATTAAAATTATTAAAATAGATCTTTAAAACCAAAGGTAGATGGTCACTTTCTGCACGATATACGATGTTAAAATCATGTATTCGATCCATCAAGTCCCTAGAGATTAAAACATAATCTATTGTGGAAGCACCTGCTGAAGAGGTAAAGGTAAATTCACCAGGTCTATCTCCAGTTATGCACCCATTTAAAAGGGATAGACCAAAATTATTAATCATATACATTAAGCGTAGACCAGGATAATTACAGACACAATCTTTAAATTGCCTGTGGTTAAAATTTTTATGAAGAATAGGTTGTGGGAAGGTCACATTGAACCGTGCAGAAAATGTCTCAGCATTTGTCCCTATCCTGGCATTGCAATCTCCAGCAACTATTATAGCAGCATCAGGATACAATTGTGTTAAATGATCAATGTAGTACTCTAGGTCATTGGTTCTTAACCTTGGGTTACTCAGGAGTTTTGGACTGCAACTCCCAGAAGCCTTCACCACCAACTGTGCTGGCTGGGGTTTCTGGGAGTTGCAGTTCAAAAACATCCGAGTAACAAAGGTTAAGAACCACTGCTCTAGGTTAACCCACAAGTCATCTGTCATCACACGAGATTGTTGCGGAGGAATATAAACATTGATAAGTAGTAACAAACAAGTA